GCCCTGCCTCACTTAAATCCAATTCACTTGCAAGTCAAGGCATCACCTCCCTGATGTCATGGTCCTCTTTGGGAATGAAGGACAAACAACAACAGTATAGAACATAAGAGGCGGATGGTATTGAATCCAGATCCCAAGGGATGATTTACAGGTGAGGAAGGCAGCCTGGAGAAGCTACTACCTGAGGGGTTGGTTTCTCCCACTGGTGGGATCATCGGTCCCTATTCTAGCAGAGCAAACTAGAAGCTGAGTTTCAAGCAGCCCTTGACTCCACCTAATGCTGCTGGTTTCAAATGCTCAGATCCAATCAGAAGCAGGAAAGTTCAGGGCAGAGCTGGGCCTTTCAGTCACAGAGGTTTCCGGGGTAATGTGGTTACTACAGTTTACTTCCTCCTCTAGATAGAAGTGTGGCCTCACTGACAATCAGTCAGTCAACAAGCATTTATTAAGGGCTTTCCCATGTTCCAGGCATGGTGCTAAGGGCTGGGGATACAATGAAAGACAAAAACAGCCCCTACCCTCATGGAGCTCACAGTCTCACTGGAGAACTTGTGGGAGGACCAGCTCCTGGGCTTAGGGCTTCCTTCTGGGGCTCACATCTGGTTGTTCCTGCATCCTCCTTCCAGAAGCCCCATTACATTGGGGGAATATTTGTCTCTGTCCTTCCTAGGAGAATGCCAGCTCCCTGAGGGCAGGGCTTATGTCTTTATGTCCTCAGCACCTGACACATCTTAAGGGATTACCTATTGCTTGCTCTCCTTCCTGCATCTCAAAAATGGAACCTTGGGGGAGAGGGAGGTAGATGTTGGTATGCACCTCCACTCCAATCTGTCCACCCTCTATGGGCATCTTCTCTGTCCCTCACTCAGTAACTCAAACTTTATTGGTTTCCCAAGGTCACTGGGATTGTAAGTGATAGGACCAGGACTTAAACTCACAGTCTTCTGGCACCAAACCCAGTGCTTTTCCCCCAAATACAGAGTGTAGTAGTGGCTAGCACATTGGCCATGGAGTCAGGAAGACGTAGGTTCAAATGTTGCTTTGGATACTTACTGGCTGTGTGACCCTGACAAATCACTTAACTTCTATGGGCCTCGGTTTCCTCATTTGTAAAATGAGGGGGATGGCTTCTGAGGAGGCTCTCTAGGGCATAGAAAGGAAGCTCAGGGAAATGTGAACAGTGATAACAGAGAGGATCAGAGGAGAAAGCAGGGGCAGGGGCCCCTTCTCAGTGGGGGTGTTTACAAAGAGGCCTGGGGCTTGGAAGGGGCTTAAATAAACTCACCACGTGACTCAGCTTCCTTCCCCAATTTCAGACTTCTAACAGAGCTTCCTAAGAGCGAGTCTCCTGTCTGACCATCTCCCTTTACTGGGCCTGTTCTCTCTGAGGCTGGAGGCCCCAACGGCATCCTGTCCTCACTGGGTCATCCTGGCCTTCCTCTCTGCCACCCCCATGGGTAAAGTTCCCTCTCTAAAGGACCAGCAAGACCAAGGAAGCTTGGGGGCCCTTATGCTATGAAGAGATTACAGGCTAAAAGGATGATCCCAGGCCAAGCAGGCAGGGGCCCCAGAAGGGAGTTAGGGTTTTTGTACCATGATCCTGCTCTGACCCAGGCTGGGTTCAGGGCCTCTCCTCAGAACTCTGCCCAAGGACTGCTAGTTATCCCACCTTCCTTCCCTTCACTGCAGCCAGTCAGCTAGATTAGGTTGGGCCCTACCAACTGGGGGAGGTGGTCTGGTTATCTGTGGGGGTGGGGAAGAAGGGAGGAACAAAGTTAGAGAGAGGGAGGGGGTGTCCTGCAGCTGTTGTTCTAAGAGCCAGGCCCCTCCAGGGTTCTGCGGACAGCTCAGACCACTTCATGTCCACTCCCAGCCCAGGAAGCTTTCTTCGGCCTCTCCCCTCTCACTCCTTCTACCTGCCCCACCCCCCATTACTAGTCCTCCTCCCATTCACTGTGGCATTCGGCAAATAACCCAGCTTTGCTCTTCCTCATCATAGGCCAATGCTGGGCCAAGAGCACCATCTAGTACCTCTCCATCTGTTTGTTCCCCCACCACTTACCCCTCAGAGCCACATGCCAAACCAGATCTGGCTGATCCCTAGCCTCTCCATTCCCAGATCTGAGCTCCAGGGTCCCTGAGGACTATTGTGATACTCACATAGCATTTTATTTAGATATAAGGAAGGACTTGCAGAACATAAGGAGAAAACATAAAAAGGGATGACTGGATGTCTGATTCCCCTCTGAGAGAATTCAACCTTCCCCATCCTAACCCCTCTCCCCAATCTGTCTGGTCTTCTTAAAGAGGCAGGAGCATGGCCAAGATGAACCCAGGTGGGCTATGACTATTCAGCAATTCTGATTTTCCTGTATTGAGTTTCAATTTCTCAGGGAAGGAGGTCAAAGAAACTGTCAGTCTTCTGTCCCCCACGGGGCATCTGCTCCCCCCTCGCCCAGTCCCAGCCCCCGCCAGCCCCAGCCATTCTCAGATCTTGGATTAGAAACTGGGCTCTGGGCAGCATTTTCTGCCTTCCACGGCTGGCTGCCTATTCAGGTCCCAGTGCGTTTTGAAGGCTACAGTGCAGAAGAGAGCGAGAAAAGGGGGCCCTATGCATCTTCCTACTTGCCCTCCTATCCCACTCCCTTAGGCTGAATGCCCCTTTCCTCCAGATCAGCAGCCCCCCATCCACCTAGGGGCCACCACCAGCTGCTGCCAAGGGAGCAGGGGTGCTTGGTCCTTATATACACAATACCTAACATGTGACAGAGCCCCTCCCTATTTCCCCTTACTCATTTCATGCTCCATCTCAAGCTAGGACTGGGTGGGGGTCTCTTCCCCAGCCTGTCCTATTCACTCCAAGGTAGGGATGATCCTTTTGCCTCTCCAAGATAAGGGACAACCCCAAAGAAGCTCAGCTATCCCCTTGAAAAAAGAAAGCTTGAGTGGAGGTGGGGAGGGGAAGAGGAAGCTTTGTTGAGAGTCTCCCTTCAAAGTGGTACCTAAGGGAAAGTCTATAAGGAGTGAGCTCACCCCCTAGTTTCTCTCATCTCACAGATCCCCTTCTTCTCAGACCCTTGAGCTCATAATGGGGGGTGGGGGGGTGGGAAGACCTGGGGGAAGGGGGACAAGCAGGGGCCTGGGCCTCATTTTCCTTTTATGGTAGTTTCTCTCTCTGTCTCTAGCCTGCTCCAGATGCTGTATTTATACTTCCTATTCTCCCTGGTGGACCTGCCCCGCCTTCGGCCTCCTTTCAGTATTGCTATGGCTGCAAGAACAGTCACCAGGCAGTAGCACAACCCCAACCCCCCCCCCCACATTGAACAGAGGTGTGTGTATGTGTGTGTATGTAGAGGCACCTGCAGTGCTGTTCTTTGTCTAACACAGCCCTGTGCCTGAATCAGGAAAGCTCTGTGTAAGTGATGCTCAGATAGGCATGGAGCCCAGAGGTGGTTAAGCTTAGAATCGGTTTTCATTCTCTCTGCCCTTAGCAACCCTTTCCAAATGGGCTAAGCTGTCATCTTCATCCCAACAGTCATGGTTGCCTGTCAAGTCAGGTACCCATCACACTTGGGGGTGGGGTGGGGTGTGGTGGGCAGCAAGGAGCCTGTTCATACTATGCAGCTCTAGCTCTGTCTGGAGGTAGTCAGCTAGGGTCCTAGGGACCCTGTCATATCCTTCACCAGGAGGGTTGAGAGATTCATGGGAGACCTTGTGATACTCCTATTCCAAGTACACATACCAGGCTGCTTGGCCAATCACACCCTAGTCCAGGTTGGGAAGAGACGCAGGGAAAGAAGGGTAGAAATATAAAATATAGCATTGTCTCTGCCAGGCTTCTGGTCTTTCCAACCTCTAGTGGAAATACCCGTAATCCCATCAACAGACAAATTTGACGAGGAAAAAAAAGGCGGGACGGAGAAGAAAGGTCAGACAAACCCTCATTACCCCATCAGAGAGCAGTACAAAGGCCTCAGATGGTTCAACTTTGCAGCATTTCCTGCTTTCACCTCAGAGAAAGGGAGACGTGTACACCCTTCCCCTCCAAGACAAGCCCCCTTTGCTATTTCCTCTCCACTCCCACCCCAATCTGTCAACATTTTACCTTATACCATCCATACAAAATGGATCCCCAGGTAGCTGCCCCTTATACTGAAATAGACCCAAAGATTGGGAGAGATAAAAACTGTCAGTCTGACCTCCTCCCAGCTTGGAAAACAATGACCTGAGCTCAGGTCTCCTCTTGTGGGGACCTGGATCCCCTCTAATGGGCCATCCCAATTAGAAACCAAACCAGCCTCCCTCTCTCCCTTCATCCCATCCAAGGAGACAGCATCAATCAGGAAAAGGGATCTTTGTTTGGAGAAGCTGTGTAGTAGCGGGGACAGGCGGCTAGGGTGGTGGGGTGGAGATGGGGGGTGGGGTGGGGTGAGAATCAGTGTCCAGCAGCAGCAAAAGCTGTAGTTTTTGATTGGCAAGAGCCTGGAATTTGTTGATTTAAAAAAATCTTAAAATAATAATAATAATCCCTAATGAGACAACACAAGGGGCGGTGAAGAGGAAACACACAGATGCCCTGGCTTGGGCCAGGGTTGGGTGTGAAATACCGGATTTCCTTGTTTATTCGATTTTCTGTTCATTAAAGGCTCCCAGAAGAGGTGGATATTATCTCCCAAACAAAGCCACCCGCCAGTCGCTCTCCTGGGGACCCCACATATATCAGACCTGAAGTCTCAGGTCATTCATGGATCCCCGTGCTGCAGAACGATGAGAGAATGTGGAACTGGGGGTGGGGGCGGGGAGGGGTGGTACAGGCTCCCCACCTGAAACAAAGCTGCGCAGAGAAGCCGCACTCCCAGCGCCCTCTCCCCACACACA